TTTAAGAATTTCTCCTGGACAGAAGGTTGGAATGTAGGGTGGGTCCTGGGAAAGGAGAGGGGGGAAATGGTGGATTTCCCCAAAAACTAGTGAGGGATGGGATAGTAGTGAGGGATGGGATTCTGGGCCATGGCACCCATGACTCCCTACCATGTTTTCTTGATTGTGTTGCCAGTTGCATCACCAATGACATGTAGATGATTGACAGGCATTTTGAAGAGGTACAAACTAGTGGCAAAATCAGGCAAAATCATGCCAAAAAACAAGCGAATAAAGAAATGACCTGCTTCCATAGTGGGAACGATGCATGGATTGGAATTAATTCACCAACCTGGAGCAAAAGCAAATCTCAAATCAGGTTAAATGTAAGTGGGGATGATCCCCATGTGGAAGAAGAATGGGCAACTGGGGCAGATCCTTGGTGTCTGTATCAATTTCCTGCCTCTGAGACACTCCAGGAGCGAAACAGACACCCCAAACTATCTTCCAAAACTTCTGGAAGTGATCAGAAGATCTGGTTTTCAAAAATGGGTATTTTTGATATTAAACAGTGCAAGGAACCTCTGCAACCTATTTAAATTGCCTCTCTGGAGGATTTCAGGAGAGGCAATTGATCATTTTTAAATAGGAAAAAATTGTATGGAGGAGGGGTCTGGAGAACCTATAGAAATCAAGAGCCACAAAACATAGCTTCAGGCCAAACTTTGACCACTCTTGATACAGAAGCACAAGATGAAAAGCTCCAGATGTTATAGTGGGGAGGAAGAGAAGACAAACAGAATCCTTCATTGTTCTTGCACTCAGAAAATCTCCCTGCCTGCCTAAGAGTCTGAACAACATTGCATGGAAAAGTAGGTGGTAACTGACTTAACAACTGCATTGGAGGTCCAAAGTGTAAGTGTCAATTGACATGTTAGAGCTACTCTTAAGAGCTTTTTCTTGCTTTATTCTTCCAACCAGGCGCAAACGTGCAAGAACATGTCTTTCTCTGAACACAAAAGAAACAATACCATCTGGGATTCAGCTACTACCAAGTAGAATCTTGTCAGCCTGGCTGCACTTTTAGTTGGCCGACATCTGTCTTCTGAATGTAGAAAGACTGGAATCTTTCGTATATACTGGAAATTCCCAGCAGGGAATTTTTTCTAACATTGCAATTTTTTTTTGGCCACACACTGGAAATAATAACATAAACTCATGCAGAACACACACACACACACACACCGCCGAACAGTTTTTTTCTGCATCGCTGGACTATCTTCCATCCTCACTGACCTAAGTGTTAGTGTCACATTCATGTTTTGGAAAGGTTATTGGGAAAACATCATGTTATGCCTCCATGGGGAATTAAGAACTGGGCAAAACCCACGAAAAGCAAACAGTATCATTTGAATACCACACCACAATGAATACCACATTCAACACCATTTGGAGTATAGGTTTCTGTGTAAGTAAAAGGAAATGGGTTTGCATTGGCCAAAAAGATTGCAAGTGCTTAAAAGGAGACAAAAGGACACTGAAGAGAATTAAATATCCCAAAGGAACAAGCATACATATACCATATATAGTACTCAGGTTCCAGGCAAATGTGAGATATCCCCCTCTAAGAAGATGTACTCACTTGCTCATAATTCATCCCCTGTGATGGCTTGTTTCACCTTCCACTCCTTCTGTTTTTTCTGTTTGCAATCTTAGGGTTCATTCATGCAAATGGCTCCTAGTACTGCTAATCAAATACCACTACAGAGTTATTCTCTTCCTTTCCTTAACATGTTTTATTTAAGAATTGAAAAAAATAACAGAAGTGGTGGATTTTTAAAAAGCTGAAGAGTTATACATTTAAAACATGTACTATCTCATATCTTTTTCCATCAAGACAACAGTTGAGGCAAGGGACTTGGACAGAGGATTGGGCTAAGGCTCTGAGGCTTTATTTTATCTGTGTCCTTGATACCATCAGCCAGCTCCAAGCCTAACTGAAGAGGCTGCCTGTGCCTTATTCCATCAATATGACAGTTGAGGCAAGGGACTTGGACAATGGGTGGAGCTAATGGTGTCACCGAGAACGATTTGGATTCTTAGATCATGGGCTGCGGTTCCATGAGGGTGGACTTCTGGCAAGGGATGGGCTGCATCTCACGCCAGTTGGAAGAAACGTTTTTGCCAACAGTCTCAAGAATTTGATCAAGAGGGTTTTAAACTAAGTTATTTGAGGAAGGGAGACAGTTTTCTGCAAGAGAAAAGGACTAGAAAAAACAGTCAAACTGTCATAGAGGGAACAAGGCAAACAGTGCAAGGACCCAACAGTGAGAGGCAAAACACAGGCAGCAAGGCAGCAAGTAAAGGGGACATATAGTCTTAGATGTCTCTACACTGATGCACAGAGCATGGGAAATAAGCAAGATGAACTTGAACTCCTAGCACAACAAAACAAATATGATATAATAGGCATCACTGAAACCTGGTGGGATGAGTCTCATGATTTGAATGTAGAAATACAAGAGTATAACCTTTTCAAGAGAAACAGGCCAAACAGGAAAGGGGGAGGA